AAAGGAACATCATCCTGATGAACAGGGTCCAGGCCAAGGCAGTTTGCGCCGGCGTCGTCTGAGAAGACAGGGACAGCGGCATCTCCACCGATTGACACTGCGGGTCGCACAACATCTCTGCAGGACGTTGTGTCGAATCAGTGGAGACGCGGGACTGCTTGCTGTTCTTCTCCTTGGCGGCGGCGGGCTTGTCAGCCTCTTGCCATGTCTGCTCCATCTCTTCGTCTTCCTCTGCGTGCTCCTCATCTTCCTCCTTGTCCGGAATGGGGGGGAGAGAGGGGGAGAGGGAGGCAGGGTTAACGGTAGGGTTAGCCGCGGACCTCATAATCTGGTCCATCAAGGACTGCTCGGGGTTGGACATGTTTTGGCCCTCCCGTGAGCCGAAGAGTTGCTGAGATAGTGTGATGCTGTCCTGGAGAGAGTCGAGGGGGGAGGACGAGCGGGTGACGACGCCTGAGCTGCGTCGGAAGCGGTTGAGCTCCTCGACGAGGATCAGGTTGGTTTTTTGTACGTTGATGAGGAGCGTCTCAAGCTCCTTGTTGCGCTTCTCGAGAGCCTCGACTTCGAGCCTCTTTCGTTCACGCGAGGACTGCGCGGCGCGGCGGTTTCGGAGAACACGCTCGACGCGGCGCTGCTCCTTTTCATCTTCCGTCTTTGCACGTTTTCTAAGGAAGCCGGTTAGGATGCAAGTCTGCATGGAGTGTGATGGGCGTTGGAAAGTGATGGATGTGAGTGACATACCTAGGAGGGAGGTTGGTCTTGGGCTCAGGAAGGACCTGGCCCCATGATTTCCTCTTCTTGACAGGCTTCTTTTCTGAGGTAGCGGATGTGGAGTGTGAGTCGTCGTCCTCCCCGTTCAGTGACTCGGGGATGACGGACAGGCGGTGCTCGGTGTCGGCGACGCTGTCGGGGGTCATCATCTCCCGAGGGTTGAGTGTTGACGGTGTTGAGTCGGCGAAGAGAGATGTGAAGTTGTCGCCGGGGGCGGAGAGGAAGGATTCGGCGGGAGAGGCCTCGAACTTGACGAGGGGAGACGACTGCTGGAACGCCATGTTGCCTGCCGTGTCTTGTTTGCTGAGCGCAGTCGCTTTGATTGGCGTGTTGATGATGATGCTTTCTCGCGCTCTCTCACTGCATACGCTTTTCGTAGTAGATATGGAGATGGCGCGTGCAGTGTTGGTGTGTCTGTTGTGATGTCGAACCGCTGCTTCTTCAATGAAGAGGAACAGTGGAGATGAGAGAGAGAGAGGAAGCAATCAAATCAAAGCGAAGCGTGTCAGTCGATGTTTGATGACGACGATGCGAACAGTCATGACAGGCAACGGCGCCAGTCCCAAATGAGTCAGCGGGAAGCGGCGTGGCTGTGTCCAAGTGCAGTGCCTTCCCCTTGGTGCAAGTGGTGGAATTGGATGAGTCAGACAGAAGAGGACAGAGTGGCCTCTCGAGTTTGTTTCTAGCTTGACGAGCGAACGAGACGCCGAGATCCAGCGGCGATGGTGGCCTCTTTATCTTGAGGACACGTAAACCAAAAGAGGGCGGCTGGCACGTGGTTGCCTGAGGCAGCCGCCCTGCCGGGGAAGGGAAAGGGGCGGCATGGCATCGAATCGAACCTTGATGAGGCAGCACCCAGTGCAAGGGCGGGGCGCAGCCTTTCGAATCAGGCTCCAGGGGGGGGCCTCCTCCTCCAGGGGGCAGCTGGAACTGAGGATTAGCGGGCCCTGGGGGTGGACCGGCGCCGAGTCTGACCTGCTGCAGGGGTCGAGAGGGTGCGTGCTACAGGGGGTGGGACCGCTGGAATTCCCACTGGCCGGACCTCGCACAGTCCATCATGTCCATGTCTCCAAGATTGGCTGATCGAAGTCCAATCCTCGCAATCCTCCGAGCCTCGTGTCTTCCGAGCAAGTCGGCTGAACCGGATCGTGGGAGCATGTCAAGTAAGATTAGGCGGGATTCCAGCACTTCAGAGTGGTTCCATTGAGGCTGTTCCTGAAGACGGCATGGCAGAACCGCCGAGACACGTGCTACACCAAGCCTCACCTCTAGTTCTATCAGATATTACTGTACGGAAAACCAACATTGAACAACCATGAAGTCTATCCTTCACCGTGCTGGATTCCCACCGTCAACACGCACTTCCCGTCTACTCACAAGATATCAGGCCTACATACAAGAACATGACATACCTGCATCATTGGTACATGTACCCTGCCTGCCCTGCCAGGATACACGCTCTTCCCGCAGGCGACACGTTGCCTACATGTACATGGACATGGCTGCAGAGAGCGTGCATGTGTCGACATGAATTTTGTTGGGCTTTTCCCGTCTCCTTAGGTTTGCAGATATCCATGATCCATGATGCCACCGCTCTGCTCATCGCCTCGAGCGCTTCCCGCTGAACTTACACATCTCTCTCACATGGCATCATCAGGCCTCTCTCTCTGATATCCTACGCCTGTGTACCACTCGTACTCGTACGCACAGTGGTAGTAGTTTCAGTATCGATGTCCCAGAAAAGGGGCTGAACAATATGGACCCTCCTCCTCCTCTCGATCCCACTTGTTGATACGATCTACCTCAGCTTTGCCAAGTGCCAACACGAAAGAGACGGTGTAATCCGCTAATACTAACCAGCCTCAAGTCTCCGCGTCGCCACTTGGGTTGCTATTCTCATCCAGTGCTTCATCAATCGATCATCACCGATCAATCAGTCAGTCAATCAAGAATCAATAGCAGCGCCACCGGAACTGGCGCGCTACCATCCATCTAGCCCTTCTCTACCTCCAAGGCACCTGAAACCGGCTGCATTTTCGTCTATGCCTGCGCGCCTCTGCATGTACATGTCATGTATGGAAACGGAGCCCATATGTGCACATGCTGTACCTCGTACATGTCGCAATACGTGGTGAGCTCCGACAGGCACGGACGAGCCCACAATGCTGCCGCCAACGATGGACATCGACCCATCCAGCTCTCTCTCTCTTCTCAAGTTCCTGTCTCCTCCTCCTTCTGAGACAAACCATCCTCTTGTGTTCTTGTGTGCCCTTTTGGCGTTGCGCACGTAATCACTAAAATCCACGGGACAAAGGTGCAAAGCCGTGCGGATCCCGTGTAAGCCCTTGTTGTGACTCGGGAGACATGGACCCTTTTCGCAACCAATTGCCGGAAGAGAGTGGCTGGGTGACAATGAGCCATGCAATCCCCTATCTTGGGTCTATGAGTTAGCTGATAGAACATACGGGGCGTTGTGGCTCTGATAGCCAACCCCAGTAGTGGGCGGTTCGAGTTCACGTTTCCCGGTGATGCTGCTGCTGCTGTTCGGGAACATCGCCAGGTTTCCGGCTCCCGCATGGACTTCTCTCGCAAGGGTCCCAAGAAGGGAAGCGAGGAGTATCGCATCGATCGAACGGGCCCGTTCGTGCGAACCCTGGCGTTTCGCCTGTGCTCCGACACGGGCAAGGGCAAGCTGATGTCGCGCAGAAACAGGCGAGACAGGAGGACCCCTAGCAACAGGCGCTGCACAGTAAAATACGGACATTGGCGTTGTTGTTCGGGACGGCACAGAAACCGCCAAAAGAAGCAGCTGGATATCACGACAATTGCGAATTCTGCCTACACGTGCGCAACTACCGCTAATAGCGTATCTTCTCTGCTCTGGCTGAATTCATGGTTCTCGACTCGGCTCGACTCGATTTGACTACTACATGTCGACTACGCCGTAGACACCACAAGCTTGGTCCAATAAACAAAGAGGGACGGATAGTCAAAAGGGAGAGGCGGGCCTTTTCTCCCCCCCTCCTTCGGCCCTACTGTACTTGTAACCATTCTCCTTAGGCAAAAAGAAGGCCTTCTCCAGAAAGAATGCGTACCAAGTCCTGCACCTAGTGCCTCTGGTGTGGCAGCCGCCGCTCGATAGCATCTCATCTCGGAGTGCGGGCCGTTGTGCCGCCCCTTTCTTGCTCTCGTTCTCGAGCTCGAGATATGGTCGTACAATGGCTCTACCACGGACGGCTTCAAAAGACGCGGGCAACACCAGCTCCTCGGATCAACAGACAAGTGAACCCTACATTCTGTGCGTACATTCGAGGTACTAGATAGTTGATATCTCATAAGAGTATGCTCTTCTCAGCAAGACACTCCGTGAGCCACATACCCCCAATGGAATCAACATCAATCCAATGCTACTCCTCACCGTGCTAGTCTAGTCCGGGTAGCTCAATATTATCGATCCGGCATTGTAACGGCGGACGGGCCCCTCCTTGCCCTCCCTCCAGCTTCTTCCCCCCTGGATTAGGCCGATCCCCCTCTTTCTCGCCGACACCCCCGGATTCACTTTACCCTTTGCCCTTCCAGCTCTCCCATCTCTCCCGCTCTGCCGTACAAGCGAATAGTACTAGAAATCAATACTCCGGCTTCCAAAGCCGTTCCATGTAACCCCAGACGGGGACAATTGATCCATTTCTGCCACGATTGATTGGCAGTTTACCCGGCAAATGCTTTTTGTCTCTTCTTCTGCCTCTTTTCTCATTGTCAAAGTCTTGTGTGGCAAGCAGCATTGGATCATTTCAACTTCACGTCTCTAGATACACACTCCCGCGAAGCACAAGGTCGTTCGATTCCAGTGGCTGCAATGGCGCCCAAGTGGGCGAAACTGCAGCCCTCATGCATACTGGTTTCTGCCGAATCGACCCAATGGCGGATGTTACAACCAAGTTCAGAATTTTCGAAATCCCGCCACAGCACGGGAAGCATGTGCTCTTCACGCATGTGCGTCGTGCGAGTATGCGGGGGAAAGGAATTGTCCGTGTCCTGCATCCCTCTTCGACCACTCAAGCGTGGAGGATTCCTGCATACATACATCCAATACTTGGTACATCCAAATTCAGATCAACGGACCAATGATGAGACAAGGAGAGTCCAGAGGGAAGAGAATCCAAGACTCGTCGCTGTGACGGCCTCTCACCGCAACTATCTGTATCGGTAAACATATCAAGCCCAACCGGCCATCAACACCAATGCTTGACTGCCGAAGGAACCGTTCTCGACAGCCACTGGACTGCAGCAACACGGACGCCCACTGTATTGAACGGGGCCAGCGCTTTTGGTCTTTGCTCGTGCATGTCCTGTCGAGTCCTCTGCGCGAAACGGCCTCTGCGCAAGACGGCCTCTGCGCAAGACGGTGGAGAGCGCGTCGAGCATGGGATGGATCAGCCGGCAAGGGCACTGCATCGCGAGCTGGCAGGGAAGCAAAGTGAAGGCAGAAACGACAGACTTTTGTTGGGCGTTCCCACGTCTGGTCTGCATTCATGTCGGTGAGCCTTTGATCGACCATACATACATGGAGACATGGTGCTTGAAAAGCTCCTCATCGCAGTGAGTGCTCGAAGAAGTAGTATCCAGACCCGTTCACATGCAAAAGCCGTCTCCTCCAGCAGCTCAGCTGTGGAGTATCGCGGGCCAAGTACCGAAGGAAAGCTTGCCACGTTGGACGGGCTCCAGACCAAGTGCATTGGCGATGATGCGCTTTTCGCGCGGCAATTGAGCTCTTGGGCGTTCTTCTCGTCGAAGACGGACGCCGTGCATGATGTAGACGGTCATCAGGATACAGGCACAAGCGTGTGCGTGTGTGCGTCTGGGCCTCCGGGCGTGGCTGACAGGGGTGCAGTCGAGCCCAACAGAATCCAACAGGGCCCTGGACCGTTATCTGCAGACCGCTTGTTGCATGGGCTTCCAGATGTGCTCGTCTGCTCCGGTTGGTTGACATGTATGTACGAGTATTGTTCGATCAGCTGAGTGCAGACGAAGCATGCATCTGACTCGAGATGCTATCCAGTGTCTGGGTGAGACTCCAATGGCCTCGCCGTTCCACAGAGCGTTCTTGCCTTGGGGTGAGGGGTTGCGCAACTCCATTGTCACAATATCAATGGACGCACTGATAGTGCTTGATACTCTTGATTGAGCTTGACGGATATCCGCCTGCTGGGGCTCACCTCTATATGGAGGTCACCTAATCCAACCCCGTGGGAAAGAAGGTTGCCATGGCATTTCGTCGCGATGTGAAAAGTGTGCCTGATACTCCTTGTTTTCTTGCTCAGGGCAAAGATGTCGGAATGAGCACGGTTTCCAGAGCCGTACCCGCCTCGGCAATCCGACAGTGAATGAAAGAGACGAAGCATCGCCGTCGAACCAGTCTTCAATGTCGGCGGTATTTCTCTACACATCACGGTATCCTGCACTGTATGCCGTAAAGGCAATCATCTCGACCAGAGACGGTCAGTGGAGCGTCCGTATCGAACATGCGGGAGCGTTAACCCGATACAGCCAGCTGAAGATACCGTGGTCATGGTTCCGTGCTCAAATTCAACCAGGCTCAAAGACTCGTCCTGCCAAGCTCGGACTCGTCTGTGCCCCATAAGTGAGCAAAGATGCTGATGTGATGTGATGATCTGTGATTATCAATCACCGGGTGCAACATCAGCGCGAGCAAGGTGCCGTAATCCTGTCATACATGTACGACCGTCAGACAGCAGGATCCAGGTTGCCCGTCCTGCCCTTGACGATGCCCTCAATCTCGCCCGTCACCCATCCGCCGTAGAAGTCGCCCGGCTGAGGCTCCACCCGCTCGCCGTCGACGAAGCAGTCCCACGGGCCGGCATAGAAGCTCAAGTACCCGCGCAGCGGCTTGAACCCGGGCGTCGGGCTGTTGTACGACCAGATACGGTTGGAGACGGCGCCGCCATCCGGAAGGGTGATGCTGTAGTAGGTTGCGGCGCCCTTCCACTCGCACCAGCTGGAGCGAGACGTGGGTTTGAGGGAGAATTTGATGCTGGAGGGGGGGAGATAGTAAGCTGAGTGTTGAGTTAGTAGATGCAGCTTCAGGTTTGTTATGGGTATCATCGTCATCACACGGCTTTCTCATTCGACTGCATGGTCAACATCAGTTCAGAGACGCACTTGGCGGGTGATGCGTTTCCAGCACCCAATACGCATCGCGCGTATCTGCAATCTCCACGTCTTTGTACGTGATACGGAGATGCCGTGAGATTCTCTCCAGCCGCGGCGGTCGAGGGAACGACTGGACGTTAAGCTTGGGTCTCTCAGACATTTTGGTAGTTGCTGAAACAGCTGAATATCGATTCAATAATCTGGAGAGTAATGCGTTCATTCAAATGGATTCAACATTCCATATATATGTGATGTTTAGGTTAGCTCTTCAGCTTCGACTTACAAGAACGAATCATCGATTTATGTACATAGATACAAGTATAAGGTGTGGCTGATGATGTGGCTGTGATCAATCAAACTCCCCTTTTCCCAGACAAGGCTAGATCCACTCTGCACCTGTGGCTGTGCCTGTCGAACTTTCTGTTGCGTCACCCCGCCTTATCCGCATCCGCCACATGACTGGTCTTCATCCAGACTCAGACTCAACCAATTCCAACCTCCAGCCTCGAGAGAGAGACGAAGAAGGGAAATCAACGACACCATCGCGACATCGCCAGACTCCATCCTCCGACTCTCTCCCTCAGCCACAGCCCCCCTACGCGACCTCGCAGAAACATCACTCGAACCTCCGAACCTTCAGCCTCCCTACCGCAATCATGTCGAACCGCCAACTCGCCCGCGACATGCAGGTCGAATTCCAAGCCCGCTTCCAGGCGAAGCAGGCCCGGCGCGAGGCCCAAAAGGCCGCCAAGCAGGACCCCATCCTGCGCAAGCAGATCCAAGACCTTCTCAAGAAGGGCGAGACGCAAAAGGCCTACCAAAAGGCCAAGATGCTGCTCTCCAAGCAGGCGCTGGCCGCCCAGATGGACCAGATGGCCGACATGGCCGAGCTGTCGGCCGCTCAGATTCAGGCCAACAACGCCATGAACCGCATGACGCATATGATGGCCTCGTCGTCGCGGACCATGAACCTGGCACAGAAGAATACCAACCCTGAAAAGGTGCGTTCCGTCCCCTATCTCTTTACTTGACTGTTAAGTGGCGAGAAAGTCCGCAATTGCTGACGCGCGGCATGATCGTTGTATAGACCCTCGTTACCCTGGAGCAGTTCAAGCAGCAAAACGAAGAATACGCAATGACAAACGGCATCTACCAAGACGCAATCACGCAGTCCACCTCGGTCCAGGTCGGCGAAGACGCCGTCCACGAGCTGCTCGGCAAACTGGCCGACGACGCCGGCCTGGAGCTCAGCTTCGAGCTCAACAAGGCGACGCCCGCCTCCGCTGAGCCGCAGACCGCGGAGCCGTCGGCCGAGGAAGAGGATAAGCTGCAGCAGAGACTGAGGGCTCTGCGGGCTTAAGTCCGACTTTGGGGAATTTGTGACCTTGTGTGATTTAACAGCGTATTTGTCCTTTGTCTGTCGTCGTTATCCTTTGTTCTTTGTTCCTTCTCCTTGCTTGGAGGTTTTGCTTGGAGGTTTTGCTTGCTATAAACCGCGGTTCGAATAAACGCACACGTGAATGAACGGGTATGGGGTTTGACTAAACCCGGCGGCTACACTGCTCTTTTTATCCCTCGCTTTCTTTGGCTTTATCAATTATCAGTCTGGACAAGGGAGTTGTGGCGTTTCGGGAAAAGATTGCTTGGGCCGGATGAGATTCGAATGGCTGGATCCAGATCATGTTGGAATTCTATCAACTATTAGAGCTGCAACCTTGAACTCGACTCATGCATAATCTCTCTCTGCTGCCTCGGGATCTTGTTGCTCTTCCCTACAGTCATACATAATACAAACATGTATACCTACATACATACCTACACTGTCGTCTCATGATGCATCTAAAGCCCCTATTCTGAGCCTCCATCTGTATATCATCAAATCCCGGTTCATTCCATGCATTTCGACATGATGCGCCCTGCAAGTATTGTTTGCAAGTCTAGATCGTAAACCCCCTTTCATCCTGCATTTCATGCCAAAAAATGCAAAAGCCAAATAAACGCACTATTGTCGCAGATCACATGTACAAACTCGCCACGGCCGTGATATCCCTCTTGATCATCTCTTGCGCCTGCTGCATCTTCTGATACAGCTCCGGGTCGCCAATGATCCTCGCCGCGTTCTTCACCTCGCGGCACGTCTCGTCCAGTCGCGTAATCGTCCGCACAATCGTCCCCTCGAGCACGTCCGTCAGCGCCGTGATGTTCTTGAAGCTCATGCCCCTGGCCCACTCGTACACCACCTCCATCAGGCCGAACCGCGGCCTCGACACAAAGTCGTTGGAGTCCTCGCTCGACTGGATCACCTGCAGTCTCGTCTGTACGTCGTTAACCTTTTCGGAAATGGCAATGATAGTATCACGTCCACGCTCCAGGTTGCCGGTTAGGGTAGGCTCCGTCAGCGTCTTCTCCTGGAACACAAACGAGGATAAGAGGGCTGCAATCTCAGCGGGGTCAAAGTCGGCCAACACGTTGTCGAGGATGAGCTCGGTCAGGACAAGCTCATCGCCGGAGTGGACTTCGCAGGCCACCTTGCCCTTGAGCTGGATGCGCGATGACTCGTCAATGAAGTCGAGCTCCCTGAGCACCTGAACGCGCTGCTCGTAGTCGGGGAGCAGCTGTAGGTTCTGGTCGGAGAGGGTCTGTTTCAGCTGGGCAATGTGCTCTGTGATGAGCCACTCATCGTGGCACATGGCAAACTGTTGCAAGCATCTGCGTTTAGCCTATGAACTAAGAAAGGAAATGAACCAAAGTCATCAAAACTTACGTGCTTCAAAAAGGCAGGGCACCGCAAGGCGGCAGAGTTGGCCATCGTCTTGGACAGCTGCCATCGCTTCTCCATCATCTCCTGCAGCGGCAAGCTCTTCACTTTGCCCATATCGATCTCGTCCCACCGGTCATCCCATGACGCGCAGATCTCCTGAATCTTGTCGAGGGCTTCGTGTGCGGGAGCACCCCCTTTGAAAATCTCCGGGATGACTCCCTTGAGAACCCACTTGGTAAGGCATTCGACGTCGCTCAGGGGCACAAACATATTCTTAGTAGTAAGACGCCTCTTTCCCTGAGGAAGCCTCTGCATGTACTTGCGGAACGCGGGAATGAAGGGAAGCTGGTCCGTAATGTCGCGGCGCTCCCGCAGTGGCTTGATGGCGCAGACGTGCAGGATAGGGTCCTCAAAGGAGCCCTTGGGGCTCATGCCTTCGGCAAGGAGGATGCCGGCAGTGCGGATGCCCTCCCAGTTGAAGACGATGAGCCGCTGCGGCGAGAACATCCTTCGCCCAATGGAAATCTTCAGCAAGCCCTTGTACAGCTCCGTCGTCAGCCGCTTGTAGTCCTGAGCTGCCTGGTGACACTCATCCACCACGTTGTCGCATATCTTGCAGGGCTCTCTCTTGACCTTAGCAAGATCTGCTTGAGCCAGCTTGACATCCTTTTCGTGCTCTGGGAGAAGCTGCTGGGTCGCATGCTCGGAAAAACTCCTCTTGATCATCTCCTCGATCTTGAGCGCTTCCACCCTCAAAAGGTTGAGAATCATATTGTAAGTCAATCTGAACTGAGACTTGAGCTTGGACGGCTCTCCCAGGATCATGCTGCGCAGCTCGGCAACAGGAGGTACATCATCACCGCCAGGTGGCACGATGATGACTGAGCCGACTTTGTCGAGACCTCGACGGCCGGCTCGACCAGCCATCTGCGTGTACTCGCCGGGCAGAAGGTTGCGGAACGAATGGCCGTCGTGCTTGCGGTACCCAGAAAACACCACTGTTCGAGTGGGCAAGTTGAGACCCATGGCGAACGTCTCGGTGGCAAACAAGACCTTGACGAGGGTTCGAGCGAACAGAATCTCGACCAGCTCCTTTACAATAGGCAGCAAACCACCGTGATGGACAGCGATACCTCTGCCGAGAAGCTCTCGAAGCCTGATGATCTGTGGCAGGACCCGGTCCTCAGGCTTGAGACGGGCGATGGACTTTTCAATCACCATGTGGATGGCGCTCTTTTCCGAAGCCGTGCAGAAGTCTTGGTTGCTCAGGGCGTCGGCGTTTTCCTCGCATCGCTTCTTGGAAAAGACAAAGATGCAGGCCGGCAGAAGAGTGTGCTTCCGCAGAAACTGGACCATGTGCACCCAAAGATTCTTGTCCTGAGCCGCCGATGTCCGTCCGCCAGGGTTTCCAGCACGTCCCATGTGGCCAGGGTTGTGACTGGCTCTGGGGGGGCCTCCTCGGCCTCTCTGCTGGACGCCTCCTCCACGACCTCCGCGTTGCTGCTGGCCTCCCCTCTGAGCGCCGCCTCGTCCTCCTGCTCCTCCTCGCTGGTTTCCTTGAGAGTTGCCTCCCCTGACGGCGACAGTGTTGGCAGCGGCGGGTGCCTTTTCCTTGCTCTGTGTCGCCTTGTGCGCATCTTTCCAACCGCTCTCCAGGAACTTCTTGTCCGCATCGACAATCTTGTGTATGTTCTTGCCAGCCCAAAGATAGTGCTCGAGGGGAACGGGTCTCTTGGCCGTAGAGATGACGTAAATGTCTCGTTGTTTGGTTCTACCAACCCAAGAGGCAAACTCGTGTGTGTTTGGGACGGTGGCTGATAGTAGGATGAGGGAAATATGCTCGGGCAGCATGATGATAACTTCCTCCCACACGACACCGCGCTCATAGTCGTTCACGTAGTGCACCTCGTCAAAGATGACGAACTCGACGTCTCGAATCAGGTCTGCGCCCCGGTACAGCATGCTGCGCAAAATTTCCGTCGTCATAATGAGGCAGCTGGCCTCGGGGTTGATCTGGACGTCGCCCGTCAGGATACCCACCTCGTCAAACTCCTGCCGAAAGTCGCGGAACTTTTGGTTGCTGAGAGCCTTGATTGGCGATGTGTAGATGGCCTTGGTCATGTGCTTGGCCGCCAAAGCAATGGCGTACTCGGCCACGACAGTCTTTCCGGCCGACGTGTGAGCTGCCACGAACACGGAGTCGCCGTTTTCCAGATGGTACACGGCCTCCTTCTGGAACGTGTCCAGCTCAAAGGGCCATTCTCGAGCCATATCGGGGACGAGCTCTCTGAAATTGGGCATGTCGTGCTTGATGTCGACCATGTGCGCCCACTCACGGCCTGCCTTTTTGGCGCTGGAGGCTGCGAGGACACCGTGTGGCTCGAGAGATGGAAATTCAACAGGCAGCAGATCGTCAATATCGTCTCCGTTCTCCTCGTCTTCCGCCGAGTCTCCAGAGGCATCAGCAGGTGATGATGAAGAATCCTCCGCTTTGGCTTCCTTTGCCTCCTCTGGATCCTCCTCAAGCTCTTGCTTGATTGCCTCGGCAGCATTCTCGTCCAGACCCGTCTTCTTCTTGCTAAAGTCGATGCCGCGGGTCATTCCAGGGGCCGTCTGCAGCAGTCCTCCCTCGTCGCCCAGCTGAATCACCCGCTCCAGCTTGCTCCCAGCGGCGGCATCGTCGGCAGCTCCAGGTCCCGCATGAATCTGGTCCTCCAGAGCCGCGGTAGCCTCGATGCCCTCCAGCCCACCTGGAGCAAAGGGGAAGAAACCAGCGGCGCCCCGGACGAAATCGGCCCTGCTAGCTGGCTTCCGGAGAAGACTGGTCGAGTTCTTTGCCGTGGCCCCGCTCATGGGCACTGTCACATTCTTGTATCCCGTCACACGGCCCTCGAGCCCGTGGCGCAGGAACCTCGTCAGAGTGCGAGTCTGGGGTGGAGCAATCCTGAAGAGATCCGTGTAATCGGCCTCAAAGTCCCATCGCTGCTGCAGGCGGTCCAGCCACTCGGTGGAGAACTCGTGAGATGGCATAAGAAGCTCATTTTCCAGGCGCTGCTTCAGCTCTTGGGGGTCTGGAAGCCGCCGTTTCTTGAGTCCAGAGCTGGAGATGCCCTCTTCCTGAGAGATGAGAAGGGCATCGATGCCAGCCATGGCGGAGGCTGCTTTCGTTGCGTTTCTCTAGTTTTTCCCTCCTAAGTTTATTCTTGTGTTCTTTGAACTTCGAATTGGACAGTGATGAGGTGTTGGTGAGACGATGAGGTGTGTAGAGATGGAGGTTGAATCGTTGACGAGCTGTCGAGGCTGCCCAGCTTGGAGGTTGAAATTGCCCCGCTAACGGAAATGCGGGTCTGCGCAGCTTTCAGGACATGCATGATGCAACAACTTGAGGCCTGGTCTCTGAAAACTGCAAAGTTGATCCTCACCACTGTATAATTTATTATCAAGAAAAAGCATGGCTGGATAGCTACGAGATATGCGTATTGTGAGAAGAAGTAGTTTGATTAATTCATAGCGTAAAGTGCTCAGAAATCAGGAGTACATCTCTACACACAACAAGACGCGATTGCACGCCTTCAGGGACAAATGCAGACGCATGTATGACACCAAAGGGCGTGTATGAGCAAGGAGCAGAGGTGATTAGAGTACAGGTCCATTATTTTCCTCTCCGTCCGTCTATCGAGATTTTTGACTAGAGGTCCAACCAAATTGCTACATAGCCAGATGCGCTTCACCATCCTCCGAAACCTCCCCCTTGAAGCCAAGAACACCCCTGCCAAGCTTGAGTCTACCACCATTGAGATATTATACTACCCACCCCGAATAGTCACCCCAGCCCACCCCCCTCCTTCTTAATTTCTGTTTCTGTTTACTTGATTTTGGGTTCGTTAGTTAGGACGCATTGAGATTGCCGCCCCGTTGCTCAACTTGCGCTGGGTAGTTTACACACGCAGCATCTTGGCGGCAAAGTCCTCAATCAGCTGCTCGTTGGGGAAGGACATCTCCTCCAGCTTCTGGGCATAGGGAGTGGGCACCTCGGCACCGGTGACTCGCTGGGCAGGGCCGTCAAGGTAGTCGAAGGCGTACTCCATGGCCAGAGCGAGAATCTCGGCACCAACACCAAAGGCAGGGTAGCCGGACTCGACGACAAGCAGACGGTGCGTCTTCTTGATGGACTGGACGATGGAGTCGAGATCCAGGGGCTTGATGGAACGCAGGTTGATGACCTCGGCCTCAACGCCGTAGTTCTTCTTGAGGTTCTCGGCGGCGACGAGGGACTGGCCGACGCATCGGGACAGGGAGACGATGGTCAGGTCCGAGCCGGCGCGCTCAATCTTGGCCTTGCCAAAGGGGAGGACGAAGTCGTCCTTCTGGGCGGCCTCGGACATGGGGAAGCTCTGGCCGTACATGAGCTCGTTCTCGAGGACAACGACGGGGTTGGGGTCGCGGATGGCAGCCTTGGCCTTGAGCAGGCCCTTGGCGTCCTCGGCGCTCCAGGGGGAGACGACCTTGAGGCCGGGCACGCTGCCGTACCAGGCAGAGTAGTCCTGCGAGTGCTGGGCGGCGACACCGGCGGCGAAGCCGTTGGGTCCACGGAAGGTGATGTTGCAGGGCTGGATGCCACCGGACATGTAGAGGGTCTTGGCGGCCGAGTTGACGACATGGTCAATGGCCTGCATGGCGAAGTT